ACATTTTCACTTACTATAAACTTTTAGGAGAAGTAACATTCACTTAACCTCAAATACGACAAACGGCTCACTGGAACAATTTCGCATTTCACACGAGCTTACTGGTCCCAGTAAAATAAGATCTGCTAAGTAAACACGAACCTTACAGAAGGAACTAGCAAATTGAACTGCCCCCCCCCTCGAGTTACACACACCCCATCTCTTTTCTCTTTTTTTCCCAAAGCAGAGACAAGAGTCCTCACATCCTGGTTGCAGAAATCGTTTCTCCTCGCTTCGTTCTACTAAACAACATGGCCAAAAATGGAGAAAATGGTCTTGGAAATTGAACTGGTATTAACAGGAGTTTATAGCACTTCGCAAAATTGCCCCACGTGTTGCTAGGAGTTTGCAAAGTGCACCCACTTGCCCCAGCGGAACTGCGCCTTAGCAACCGTGTTCACTTGAGCGTTTTTCCTGCGGCTTATACAAGAATAAAAGCAATAAACATCAACAATGATCGAAAAAAGCTTGAGATAGCTTGATAAATGCATTAACAGACGATAAAGAAGCCCTGCAACGAAGTCACGGGACAAAAAACGCCACTGGATAAGAGGCCAGTCCTATCAGAGTCCACGTCAGTATTGCGGCTGATAAGGCAAAAGCTTGAAAGTTCGCTCTTCTATGCGTTCCAAGTGAGCCTGTTCTCCCGAACGTATTGCACTGTTCTTTACTCTAAAACGATGTTCAACATCAAAGTACACTTATCTCTTGCCATTCCCAGGCTACGGCGAAGACGCTTAGGCCGAAATTTTAGCCGAATAAAGGATAAAAGGATAAAGTATTCGCCGCTGATAAGTCCCTTTCTGAGATGCGTCCACAGTCTACTTCCATTCAGAATCGGGCTTATTGGGCTTATCGAGAGAAGGGTTGACTTAAACAATGATTTACGGTGGCAAGTCTATGTACAAGTTAGTGTTCTTATCCTCCCAGACTCACCTGGTACCATTTCACCATCCTCGGAGGACAGAGGTGGTGGTCGGCCTGGGCGGGAGCCTCTTTGGAAATTGACCCTCCGATCACGCGCGTTGGTGAGCGCTTCACATGCTAACTTGCCACTACACCACCTCCTCTTCCGAATTGCCCGAATTAAGCAGTCCTAGTATATTTACTGTGGTTCTGGTGTCATAAGATTTGCCCCAGAAAGTGGAATCAGTAAGTCAATTCTATCGGTTATGCGACTATTGAGCAGTCTCAGTCTCGTTGAGAAACTGGTTTCAAGTGTTCAGATCTAATAGAACTTACAGGGCTCGAAATTGGTCAAAACATGTACTTAAGTCCATCTTTCTACTTTTTTTGCCTAACACTGAACATTTCGAGACCTTCTGGTCAAACTTCTAGGATCTACAACATTCAGCTAAGCAGCTGTTCATATGCAAAAGACGAGTGATGCCATTCGGACGCGCTCGGTTTTTCGCAGCTGGATACATTTGTGAAGGGTTAGGGTAACTAGGGTATCATGGCGCCGGCGCCTGTGCGCGCGCCCAGATACCCCAGATACTCTGACACTCGAGTCGTGATATTCGTGTTCAGGGAGGTCGAACTACCCTTAAGAAACACGTTTTCTTCTTTTTTTGGAGCATGTCAATGAGGCTGAGTTTGGCGCGCCGCCAGCCTATTTTCCACTACTCGCTGAAGCGAGTAAGCGACAACAACTGATGGTACGAATGATAGATACACTGCTGTCGCTAGGCTGGCGCCGCTCCCAAAACATCCCCCTTGACACGCCCATCATCCATAGCTAACAAGACTGCGGGTACTCGGGCCGAATAGAGCTAGGTAAAAGAGCAAAATCAGACTGAACTCACATCTGAGGCACAATAGCAAGTATAGCCAACGCAGCGAACAATACAGCCATCTTCAAAGTGGAACGCAGAATTGAACCAGTCTCTATTCAGCATCGGTCTCGTTTTTATCACGTAGCAATGATGTCAATAATACACCGCCCCGCCTACAATTTCTTTCGTGCATTTCCAAGATATTGATATTCATAACGACGTACGGTGCATTTGGAGCAGAATGATAATGGGCGCTGATGACTGTTAGTCCACAGTTCAACAACATCAGGAGAATACTATCAAAGGGTGACGTACTCGTGCCCCCCCCCTGCCTTAAACTGCCGGACGCCGCAGATCTACCATACAACTATACCCCAAATTCCTGAGATCGGGGGCACGGCAGCATGCTTCAACTTAACCTGAAGGTGTCTATGCTTCTGGTGAGATATTTTCATCTTGACACAATTGTTGTCGTGTCTCTGTCCAATACAGAACAAGATGACAGTTGTCCCAGACTGGAATATTTCACGAACATTGCACGCATTTGAACATGGCGCGGAACCCATTCCGTGCCATGTTCAAATGCCACGCCTACTCTGACTCAGGGATAAAGAGTGTATTTCCTCTGACCATGAGAGTTGAACTACTATTTCAGTTGATGACGATCCTCCGCCCTCTTTCTCCATCCGCCCTGCCTCCCGCTCGATTGCTGCAGTTTTCTGGCAACAAAAAAAAACTGGATAATTTTTTTAGGAAAACTGGGAAAGGTGTTTGGAAGTTTGAGAAACCGAGGATGTTGGTAGATGGTAGAACGTCTGCGAAAGAGGAGGAGGGGGTACCGACCGACACCGCCATTTCACACATCACGATACTGTACCTGTATGGGGTGCGGCCTTTGAAAGACTCCGTGTGCAAAACTGGGACAATCGTATGGGACATGAGGTGTTTCGCCCATGTTCAAGGATCGTGAACAGGGTACAGCATCGTTGTGTGAAACTCATGTGGGTCGTATGTGTGCCTTGTGCCTTTGAGAGAATGTTGGTGCGTTGGTTTTCCGGTTGTTGACCTTTTGCGTGATTTTTCCTGTTTTATGTGCACTATCCACCCGGGAGGAGGTCGTACTGACACCCTCCCTCGGAGGGGGGAGAGGTCATACCTCCACCACACATCACGATGCTTTACCCTGATCGCGCAGCTAGCCGGTTGATGGGAAGATTTGAACTGCTGCAATTATTCCTGGAAGAAGCGACGCCTACTTGCGCAAAGAGTCCCTCGAATGACCTCAACCCTCCCCAAAGCTATAAGCGCATGACAAGGCTTTACTTGATGTCCATCATCTATGAAACCTCATCATACAATCTTGTTCGCTGTGTGTCAAGGGGGATGGATTTGGCGCGATGCCAGCCATTTTTTTCTGGCAAGCGACAAGACTATCATATCGTTTCTTCCGGTCGTTTTCCATCAGGCGTCAGCCCGCCTCAGCCATTCGCTGAGAACGGTTCGGCGGGCGCTGAACCCAGATACTCAAACGCCCATTTCTCCGCAGCGAACAAGCTCAGATGCAATACGCGCCCACGCCCTCCCCTCTCTGGGATATGCAGTGTAACTATTTGCGACTTCAGCATTTGGAACATCACTGAAACTTGTACATAGAACAGCAGCTAAATTTATTATGTAGCTTGATCAGAGGTATAATCGAATGTATACAGGTATGCTGATACTATGTCAGTTATTAAAAAAGAAATGTTAGCACAGACATTTTTCCACCACATAATACAGAAATAAACATATAATAACTCGACAAATACTCTAACAAAACAAAGGAAGACTGCAACTAAATTACAAGCTACAAGGCCTCCAGAGACCACTCGCCTCATTGAAATCTACGCACGTTACGAATGATAAGGCACCACGACCTCAAAATGTCCCCCCCCCTAAACACCAATACTATACCCCGAAGATGGAGAGGGCGTGGTTGCGCTCTTCGCTGGAACATGACAGTGGCTGCTCTTTTGGTGGATACTGCCGCTTTGGAACAACTGTGACCATATGTTTGTCCAGCGCAAAACAGGACGACAATAGTGGGAATATCCCACGAGAAACGCATCCAGCGCCATGTTCAAATAAATGTGCAACCACGCCCTGTCCATCTCTCAGATATGGAGCGTACATTATCAAAGGGAACATTTACTTCAGAACATAGAGTTAATAAATAGAAAAAAAATCAGGTTCAACAGATCATTAATTGCTCATTACGCGAAAAACGAGTAAAGTTCGAGGTCCCAGTAAAGCCTAGATAAATTACAAAATGTGTATTCAACTCACGTTAGGGCAGGTTGGCTGGAACACAATGCTCATCTAAGGGACAAGTGTGGTTCGGGAAATCGTAACGCCCCAACCAACCACTGTTCCTATCCAGATGACACGGCATCTCAGTGGCGTCAAATCAGTTAGGACACAGCAGAGGTTCTAAACAGTCTATTCCATTTCATCACCTCTAAAAAGAATCCGAGAGCGACTTAACTGCTCCCTTATCATTGGAGTTTTTGAGATTCAGTGGTCATTCTGTAATGAACCGACGCTTCAGCGGCTCAGGTGAGGGAGAGGGGGGGGGGGAGGGGGGGGAGGGGGGGGGGAGGATATGTTCAGTCTACTGTGTACCCCTCGTGACTGCGTAGAGCGAATACAGTCTTGTTCGCTGTGGACGGTGAGGCCTCTCAGGCAGGGGTTATCTTTGACGCGACGGCAGCCTGATATGCACCAACTGTGGAACTTGAGAATAGGCAAGCGAACGCAGTAAACAAAAGATTAGGAATGCCGGTTTTACGAGCTAACTCAAGCGGAATCGCTGCTTCATGGCGAAAGAACTTTTCTGGACGCAACAGTCACCTACAGAGAGTTACATGGAGGGGACACTGCTATTTTAATCCTGAGGACCCTTGTCCTTCTTCATTTACCCGCGAAAGACCCCTACAACGTACCATTTCAAGGGGCATTAAGATCCGATACCCGTGGTCTCTAGAAGCTCCAATAGTTCAGAGTTTAGCATAAAATATTAATTAATGGAACATCTGTGAATTCCAGCCAATCCACCCCAAAATGACCTGTCAGTTAACAATAATCCAGCAAAATATAATAAAACATTTACAGATCTAAGGCAATGCCTACAAGTGAGTTAAATTACGATTACAAATTATCATATTTAGGAGTATCAAAGAATTTCTTGGGTCGCCGTGGAATTGGCCGCACAATGTTAGATTTAGGAGAATTTGTTAACGGACCAAGCATACTCTGATCAACGCACGGTTCGTAAGGCGGTGCCGAGGCCGGAACTCGACCGATTTCTTCGTAGGGTGGTGCCGAGGCTGGAGTAGCGCCATAAGGAGCGGCATTCTCTTCTGATGAATCCGGTTCAAGAAATTGGCGCCAATGAATCGCTGCAAACAGACCAGTATTGCACTGGTTGTTCATTGCCTACATACATAGCAATGGCGTCTTGCTAGCTGCGCGAAATTTTTGCAAAATTTGTCGTTCTCTCCAAAAAAGCGTGCCGTATTTTCCTCAAAAAAAAAGCGCGTTAACGGTTGAGGCAGGGTATGTAGCGCACTGACAATAATCAGAACTTCAGTGCTGAAGAATAACTGAACAAACCGGAGACATCCTCAACATCTGCAACACACTGCGTTCCTTCTCGCGAGCGTCGTTTGATGCTATGTGTATATCACCGCGAGGATATGTCGTTTGACCCATGATAGGGATGGCCATGCATCGTGCAATATTTTCGCCCGTCATTTTGTTTACGTCTTTCAATGCCTCGACCTAAAATTAAGACAAAAAAGATACAGGACTGTAATGGATAACTTTTATAGCCGGTTACCTTTTGCAAGTGGAGCATTAGGTAAGATAATGTGTCCCTGTTCGTCTGAGGGAGATCACAGACGGCAACGTTCAAGGCTAGAATGTTATTTGACTGCGCCGCTCTGATGAATTCTTCACGAGAAGATTTGGGCACGAGTGGATCCTGAACGGATTAAAAAGTACTAATTATGGTTAAAGTATCAGAATCTTGTAGAACATATACTTACGCGAAGTTCCCGTAAGAATGACTTGATAACATCAGCAATCACTTCAATCTCTTGAAAAGCGAGCTTTGGGATCCCACGAGAAGTACGAAGCTCATTCAAAACACTTTGTGCCTACAAAGCAAGCACGTATTACGGCCTTGCCATGAGACTCAATCACCACTACCTATTCATGAGCCTAAAAATCACAACTTACATGATCCTTCCTCCCTGGAACACGATACAGCCCCTCGCGACTTAATCCACGATTCTCTAAATCCACCACACAATAGATTACCGGATACGCAATCATGGGTGGCGTTGAAGGACAGAATTCCTGAAAAACTAACACTTAAACTTGATATTAGTTAAAGTAAACCCCCGGATGCTTTCCACCAGAATACGTCGTACATTGGAGATCCCTGGCGAGGGGTGTCTTGTATGTCTACTGAACGGAGGGTCGTTTTTCGAGGGAAAGATTTTCGGTTGTTGACTTTTCTCGGTTTTTCCCGTTTCACACGACCTGTATCCTCCCTCCTCCATCCCCAAAGGGGAATCGTCAAAGCGGAACGCGGTGGAATACTAGCGCAAATAGCTGAATACATATTTATTCAGCTGATTCCGCCCATGATAAATCGTTACTGTACCGAAAAGTTCTTCTACCCCCCCCCCCAGCGACCGATTAACACCGCACCTTCGTCGCGAATGAGCCCAGCTCATCGGGATTTCGCTAGCCGTTCACTAATTCTCTCGATCAGATGAATCCAACCTTCTTCGCAAAGGAGCGATTTCTCCAACTTTCCAAGGTCGCGGGCTATAAGCACTTCCTAACTTGTTCGAAAGCAGACCAACCTGTAAATGGAAGAACTGTTGCCCACGTTTGTTCGTCGGAGTCCGCGGAAGAACAACAGAACGAGGGACACATGGCAAAACTAGACGCCTATAAGAAGGCCTTCTCAATACAGTTCCTTTATAGTACTGAAAACAACAACTCACGATGAGCAAGACACGTGAGTAAGCTGAAGACAATCATGGCACTTATACGCCGGCTTTGCAGCAAAATTGATACCACCATGGCACACATCACAAGAAGTAATCTGCAATGAAAAAAAAAGTTGCATTTATGAAAAATTAAGGCAAAAGTTAGCATAAAAACGAGTTGATCTATCAAATAAACAACCTTGAAGTATGTCGAAAGCGCTTGGAAATTATGAGGGCGAGTAGCTATTGGCATGCCATGGGTCCAAGTCCGGCTGCCAACCTGGCGTTTCTGCGATCGCCTTAAATCGCTACATGCAGATAAATTCCAACACTCAATCACTCGATGTTATGCTGCTAAACACTTTGCGGCAGCGTCCACCAGCGTACCGCAGTGCCTAGGAGCGAGAGTATGGGGAAGTAGGAGGGTAGCAGACGGCTTGATTAGGCGTCGTGAAATTGCGGCTGTGCAACCGTTTAGGTGCACTACACCGTACACTCTGTGCATTGCACGGTGCGGTTACATATGCCGCAATTGATCGACAACCAATCCGGCTGTTTGCCACCCCCCTCGCAAACTCCATTCCCGGTTGCTGGTGGACGCTGGCTTTCGCTAGATCGATATCTATACATTTCTAGTCGCTGGCGCTAGCGTTCCTTCGAAAAGCTGGCGTACCCTGCCGCAAAGCATGAACGCATTCAACGCCTTATCGCGTCCCACTCCTCCAATGATGCGTAGAGGAAAAAATTTTGAAAAAAGGCAAAGTGTGCGCTGAAGGTGAGAGCGGAGTCTCCTTGTCGCCCCCTTGTCTTTCTCAGTATCCTTGAAAAGAGCGGAACACCGATGAGGGAACCCATATAATCGTAATGGGCTGACCGACTCCGCCCACACGATCAGGGTGGACCGTGCCTCATATCATCATCACATATCTGCGCACATCTAGAATAAAATCTTACAGTTCCAAAGTGCTAGTAGTCCGTGGAACGAATGGAGTCTTCGGAGTAGTTGCTGGTGTTTTAGCCTAAATAAGAGAAAATATGATGGAATCTGGTCAAGAGTGTATTTAATTAGAAGAAAATCTTAAAGTGATCAGGAGTACAGAAATCAACCACAACTGTGTTTACTCATGACTCATAGGGAGATGGGACGCAGTTCAGCGACGGGAGGGGGCATTTTGCATTTTCGTTGCCTCACTACTCCCAGTTTACAAGCCAAACTGGTGGAGCCTGTGAACTCTTGTGAAGATGGAGGAAGCTCGCCGAACCACTCAGGCAAGTGGTTATTTAATATGTATCACTGCTTGACAAAACTTGGCAAGTACTCTCAACAGTGATAGTTTCTCTACAAACTTGTCAATCAATTTTCTTCAATTTTGGAGATGCTCATCGAGAAAAAATAAAAGCATAGGAGATGATTGAAAAAGGTTCCCTTGTTGAAGCACATCAATGAAATTAAGCACATTTTTAAAAAACATAAAACAAACCTGAGCTGCCAACAAATCGTTCGCCGACATGCTCCTGTTCATGCTCCTTCTGATGGTAACTTTAGCCTGTGATGGCCTTTGTCTACTAGGGTCAATAGTAACTGTAGTAGTGGTTGTAATCTCCTCGGTACTGTCTCTTGACCGCTTCGGAGGCAGTGGAGAGTCGCGCTGCAATTTTCCACATTTCTAATTTCATGGGAATTTTTTGGTGATGTCTTGTGCAAAATTGGAAAACCCGGAAAACAAAAAAAAAAGATTTGTTCAAAGGAGAAGATGACAAGAAGTGCTGACAAATCCATGAGTCACTCACTGTTTCGTCGTTTTCAATGGCCGTTGGGGCAGCATCCCGCACACGGCTGCTTCTTCGTTTGGAAGATCCTGCAGGTTGTGCATGTGCAGATTTAGAGCGACGACCACGTAAGCCTGTTGAGCGATTCCTGGCTCGCCTATAACATTGCCCATAATGCCAGCGCTAATCAAACAACTTCTACTAAGAACCGCTCCCAAATAAACTTCCACGATCCTTTGTTTGGGGATAGTGTAGCTCATCAAATACTCAGTTCTTCAGCGAAAAGCAAAAGGACTTCTTTAAAGCTTAGGCACCGGATTCACGAGCTATAGTCATGTTCGGTGCGTGTGATGGCGCGTCTCAAAGCGAATGCGAGCAGCGCCATGCCGTTTGTTTTTCTTTTCGAAAAGCGACAAGACTGTATGATATTGGTCTTACAAGTTGTTTTCACCAGTTACTGTCATTCACCTGCTTCAACAACCGGCGAACTGAAAAGGGCTAGCGGCGCGCCGAACCTAGCCTCGCTTAGGCACCGTTCACACTTCCTGACGGCAGCGCCTCGGTCGCGCGTTCGACGCGATCGATGCGCATGCTTTCGACTGCATCGATCGCGTCGAACGCGCGACCGAAGCGCTGCCGTCGCGAAGTCTGAACGCTGCCTTACACGCCCTCTCATCCGCAGCGGAAAGGACTGTACTTTGGCTCTTAATAAAAAAAATGCTCACCGCAAATGTTCGTCTTCTTCGACCTCATCGAGTGTATCCAAGGTATTCCCACTCGTATCGTAGTCCATAGTTTCTTCTGTATCACCCTCCTATAACATTTGATTCCATTAGCATATATAGAAGAAATCCCGAAAGAGTATCCAAAGATGTACAAAAAAAAATCAAAAATTATATCACCATGAACTGCTCTCTAGCTACCCGTTTAGAATTCATCTTTCCGAGATCGGGATTTCGTAGGAATGCAAGTTGTTTGCGAGTTTCGGGAGGGAGATTGTCGAGATCAACCTGGAAGAAGAAAACATTAGGTAGCTAATAAGATATTCATGCAAGAATTATAAAAGACACAATACCCCGTCACCACTCTATTCATCGAATTCGCACCAAATTTCGATCAAAACTTGTTTTCCAAGGCTGACTTGGCCAAATTTCGGCCCCGCGTAGTTGACTTTCCCACCACAAAAATTACAGGGGGGGGGCCAAAAAAAAAGTCATTTTGCCTCCATGACTTTCAAGGCGCTATAAGTTACACTTTATTAAATTTTTATCGGACATTTTTACTACCATATTAAAGAGCACATTAAATACTATAATGATACTCCGCCACAGCCTTCTGGAGGAGCGCCATCGAGAGATTCTGGCACGCGACCGCGATGTGGTACCTGAGATCAGCGGGGTAGTCGATTTCTCCGCCACCGTAGACCACCCTCTTGAGTCCGCCCGAACTAGGTAATTGAGTGGGTTCAGGTCAGGGGACATACTTCAATATTACATCTTCACCAGGTACGAAACGCCCTTCCATTCGAAGTAGGCGGGAGTTTTTCCAAAACCCTTTGATTCCATGTGGTGGCACCCAAACCTGTAGCAGCACAAGGTCTCCAAGAAGGTACGGGCGACCACATGTAGGGAGGATATTCTTCTCGAGTTACTTGATGTAACCGCCAGCGCTCACCTTCAGTCGGGGTCTACAAAGAAAATATCGGTCTTCCCCTTCCAGGTACCCCGGTCCATACCATCAACTCGCGCCTCGGCGAATACGGTGAAGATGATGTCCTGGACCGTAGCGAAGTTGACGAGGCTGCTCAATGTGGGAGGTCTTGCAGATCAAGAGTACTGACCTCCAGGTAGCTATCTGTGGATGACTTCATTCAAGAAGTTTCGCAGCTGTTTGGAGGCGACGTGAATTCCAAAGGTGTTCTCCAGTCAGGCCGCGACTGGAGATGACTTCATATTTTGGCGTACATGAAGGCGATTGGCGGCAGACTGCTCCAGCTTATAGAGGAAGATCTTGGGTATCTTCCACTCTGGTACTCATATCCACTTCCCCTGTCTGGGCTGCGAAAACTTCGTTGATATGTGGCACTCGCGGTCCGAAATGACTTTTTTTTTTGGCCCCCCCTGTATGCATCCACTTGAAGCGAAAATGCCTGGCATCTGCACCAGGCGAAGGTACAAGCTGCACACATCCCTTCTCAGACCAAGTTTGAACAGTTTGTTCGCTGCAGATGAAGGGCATTTCAAGCGGGAAGGGTTTGTAGGGTCCCACACTTATGAAGAACCTGCTTGGCGCGAAACCAAGCGCATGCCGCCTGAGGCGACCTTTCATCCATAGCGAACAAGATTCTACGCCTCTTATTGTGTATGATATTCACAATGGTGTGCGTTCAAGGGGTAAAACTACCCGACGGAATTTCATTCAAGTTTATTCGTATGGTAAAATTTCGACCAAAATCTGTCCCGCCTCGATGAATGGGTCAGTAAGAGGCGACTAGTGCAAAGAAATCTTACCAGTCCCGAAGAAATTTTACATGATTCTGCACGCGGTATAACTTTTGAATATTCTCATGTTGTACCTTTAATAGCTCCTTAACCAGTTTCAACCGATCGACCGTCTCATCCAGATCTGCCCGCATTGCATGAGCTTCCTGTAGTTGTGCTCTGATTTGAGCGCGAGCATCCGTTAATTCTGCATTGCATCGTCGAAGCTGCGATGAGAGCGACCTGTCAAAGGCAACAGGCTATACAGAGTTAGGCTACGTTCATATTTTGCGTCAGTGTACGCCAGCGCCGGCGACTAAGAAGGTGTAGATATCGATTTAGCGAGCGCCAGCGCATGATAGCGTACGCCAGTGACTAGAAAAGTATGCATATCGAACCAGCGAATGCTAGCGTACGCTGACGCAAGCCAACGCTGTCCAACGTGAAATTTTAGGAGAAAAGCAAAAGAAAAATGAATTTCAACCATTTGCAAGACATCTCGAAACCATTTTAGTACGCCTCGACAACTTGTTAAAGTAAAACAAGAAAGTAAACCCATTTCTTAAGAAGTAATCCGGGTGAAAACAGCCAGACGATGTCTAAACGGAATAAGTACCTAAGGCCTAAGTTACTCGAAAAATTAGCAATAATGTGCAGCTAATGAATAACACCCTGTGCATGATGAAACCGTGTGGATCTCACTCTCACCCTTTGGCTAGCATTTTGAAAAGTGTTGAAGGAATCCCACCAGGTTATTCCTTTTCTATCCAAAAATCCAGTTATTTGAAATGACCACGACATGGACGGAACTACCAAATTAAATTCCATAATGAATAGTTAACAATTGAAATGGCATAATTAGTGCCAGTAAGCCCATGGTCATCATCTCAATAACATAAGAATCATTATTTTCCTAGGTAATACTTGTATGATGTCTGTCTAAATCAAATACACAGTCCCCATCTATCCCCTTAAAAGGTAATGCAAAACCTACTCTATCTCAGACGAAGATTTTGCGTTCAACTGTTCATGATAGCTAGCTTTTTCTTCGGCTGCTTTCCATGCTACACGTAACCGCTCCATCTGTTCAAGTATGGTCAGCATTTCTGTAAAAAGTATAACCGCTTGAGTAATATTACTGGTAATTTCAAGGATAAGGAAAAGTGACAGACCCTGCAAGGACACTGATAAATATCCTTCTTTATTCGTAGATAAAGCACCGTATATTTGCATAACTTTGCGGGACTCATCACTCGAGTATGTCATTCCGTCAGCCATAGTCGCTCTGAACACATAGCAATTTCAATTGAGGAAATATTTCCCATTATAAAATGTTCGAAGGTTAGGAGATTTGCGTCATAAAAAAGGCGCAGATCCATTGGGGGGGGCGTATTTTGCTGGTTCACATCAACCAGTGCCGATGGCTCTTTAGCAGACCTATAAATTCCTGTAAAACTATGCAACAGCACGAGCTCCAATCCTGACAAAAGTCTGCGGGTTCTCCAAAATGTGGCGCGTAATTTAAAAGGAACTAGCGCAAGTGCAAAACGCCCCTCTCAAACCAAAAGCGCTGGAAACCGTTTTGCAAAGTCTCAGAGCAAAGGAAAAATGAATATCCAAAATATGACAAACTAATCAAAACAAGTTCCGGGGGACACCTGAGCCCTGAAAAATCTTGCTGCGAGGAACTGGAACAAAACCCAGATATCAGACTTTGTCACTTCAGAGGATGACCTTGAGTCGGGATCTTTTCATAAAGAAAAGAATGGTGAAGGTACATTTGAAGATCTTCCAGTTAAACTGGGGATACAATATCAAAGCGAGGCGCTAGTAGGGATATCATTTTTGTATAAGAAGTGGGTTTGGTATCAAGATAATCTCTTCTACCCAGTGAATCCTCAAAGACCTCAAGCCCTGTTCCCACTGATAAACGTTCAAAAAGCCGTCCGAAGAGGTGGGAGAATTACACGCGAGTACTACCAGCAAAGGAAAAAACAATCTTCGACACATAAAGCAGAAACCTCCTTGGATATTTTACATATCAATGAAGCTATGTGACGGATAGAAAGACCAGATGAAATGAAAATAGGTATTAGTAAGGTGATTGATAGATTTAGGGACGCCGAAATTGAATTTTGAACGCTCGCGGTGATAATGCGTAGACCGCGCCGCGTCGTGTCGCACCCGAAAGAAGTTTGATGGAGCGCGCAGCGTGTGGCCATTCGCTGGCTCAGCTGGTTAATCAAGTGAGTTACCTGAAGCTCTATGAAAGAGGTTCTTTCCTAGTAGTTTGTGCTGTATCGTCTTAAGAACTGGGACTTCAAGCTGAGGAGATTTGAAATTCTAAGGAAATATTGTGGGAAGGATATTTGGTTGCTTTAAAATAAAAATAGGTTCACTGCATAACCACCCCTGGTCGTAGCCGTGAAAGAGCATTGTGGAAGGAAAGGAAGCGGCGTTGAATGAATCTGAAGTGAGCTGACTTCAGCTATCTAATCAAGTCTGATAAAAACTGACAATGACTGAGTGACTTTCATTAGTAGGCCAAAAAAAGTTCAGAAAGAAATCACCCTTTTCGCAACACAGCGGGAATGAATTCCTCTCAATTTTCTTTTTGTGTGTTTTGTTTTGTCATTTTCTTTTTGCGAATCGAAGTCACATCTATCATTGCCAGTTTTTATGGGACTAGCTGAGCACAATGGAGTTTCTTCGCTCTCATTACCTACGGTCTGGCGTGCAAAACAGCAAAATTCGGAGAGAAGTAGCCCCTTTTGGCTTGCAAATTGAAGTGCTGCGGTTTCATTTCGTGTTCAGATGCATCCTTTGATTGAGATAGTCCTACCCGCGAACATGGACGATATACCACATTGGCAGCTCAGAAATACATGACGAAGGCGCGACTTGCTCACGACGAGACCACGAACCTGCCCAGTGGCCACAGCAACGCCCAACTTTCATTTCTATCTTGGTCGGGCAGTTGTACTGCTACTGGCTCTCTCTCTCCAATTGAATATTAAATGGTGATAGTGAGGTGGTAAGGAAAGAGCTGATCACAACAAACGAGAATTCGTCCGACCTGCGTCTTCGCCTTGTGCACGTATGAGTGCGATTCAGAATGGGCCTCAATTCTGGGCATATTCGGTTGGGGTTTTGGTTTTTTTTCTTAACTTTCGTGTTACTCGCCATCATGCCATTAGTATTTGTGCAGCACAACGCACCATATCGGCCTTGATTTTAAGCCGTATTCGTATCGGAGATAGTATCTGAGATGGAGAAAAAAATTTTGTTTGACTTGCTATGGGAGATCCACACTAATATGAAAAGTAGAATTCTGCGAAAGATTAAAACTTTTGCTGTTCCTGGTACTGCTTAATCGAAGGTTCTTCGGGAAAACTTGTGAGAACTCCTCGATGGTACAGGATTCCCCAGCGTGGCGCACGCCTCCGCACCATTATGCCCCTAGCTTTCACCAACAAGAACCAGCTACAATTTTGCTTGCCAGTATCACTCGCGCAAAAACAGGAGGCGAAAGGCCCCCAAAGGTTCGGCTAAATAATCCCTCTATTTCTCAAGTAGCTCCGCCAACGCTTGATGTTCAGCTATCCTATTTTGGTAGCCATACAACACGGGAAAAAGTTACCTTACCATGCTTTTTTATCAAACACTTCCGCGTCTATTTTGTCCCAAAAAGTCAATCTTAAAAGCATCTCATCTCATTACCAGTAAGTTCTGAGTATTCAATACTGTCAAATGTTACGCCGTGTCGATGACTTGTAAGAACACAAACACTCATTTCCCTATTTACATTTATCCAAACATTAAAGATCTCTTGTTTGCACTGTTTAACGAACACATTGATACAACGATATTTACTCATAACAGCACCACAGATTGTGGCCACAAAACAACGTCACAAAATTAATTGCGAGCAAGGAAATCATGGTAACGCTGGTACGGGGTCTTATCGAGCGCTTCCTCCTTCCACAGATCAGGGGTGAGGTAGGAGTAGGTACGCTGAAGGGCAGCGTAGGTGGCCTTCGCGAAGTTTCCAAGGGTGGCGGTGGATCCTGTGCGACGTTAAGCAATCTTGATACCAGCCAGTTGAAGCAGCTCTTGGAACAGCGCGACACAATCGGAGCCACGAGGAGCGGGGTACACCGTACCAGCTGACAGAATCACACTTTCCGCACTACCAGGAACGGGTGGAAGACCCGATCTTGCTTACCTTAGCCCAGTAACCACGTTCCGCACAGATAACAGCAAGCCCTTGGCGGCAACTGAGCTCCACGGATAGTCGGTGACAACTTCTTTGGAGCCAATTGACTCCGAGCCAACGTGCCTTGGAACTCCGATAGCGCACAAAGGCCTTGAGCGGTAACCGGCTGGGACCGCACTGAAAAAGTTATTGATCAGGGCTGATAATAATGATTGCTGACTCTGACAAAGCATGAATGAAACAAAACGTTGTCTGCTTCTGTAACATGTGATCTTTGAGAAACCTCAATCGGTATCTTAAGCACAGATGCGATGATCTTCTATCTATTCCCTCGAAATGTATTCACCACTGAAATTGTATTCATCATTGAAATGAAAGGTGCAGCACACGCACAGCTCCCAAGGGGTTCAACTTTGGTGCGTTCCAGTAAAATTATGTCCACAGAGCTTCCTAGTAATTATTAAGCTGCGTTCGTACCTTAAGATTATGCCGCCGTAATCGGCGTAACTGACGTCTTCGGCGATTACTCTATTCAGGGGAGATAAGTATTGGTCCCAAGCGATTGCCATAACCTATCGACGTTCCCGGTAACTACCTCCAGAAAATTAAATACTTATCGATTTGACGTCTATTACATCGATTATTGCTATACACTGGACACGTACGCATCATACGTATCCCATCTACGCAGATAGTCGCCGAAAACATAGGTCCATCACGGCGACATAATCGTAAGGCATGAATGCTGCCTTAAAAAAAGGTGCGGGAGTGGGGAAGGGGGCGTGATTTTGCACCGCTGCTGCTTTCCATCGATATGTCGATCTATCAAGTGGAGTCAAAGTTCAGCAACCAAAATTTGTACTTGTTAAAGCAATGAAGTATCAGATAGATACCATTTAGTATAGTGGCTCAACAGTTTGCTCCTTGACAAGAGTTCACAAGTTCCATCAAAACGAGACTCGTAAAGCGGAACTAGTACAGAAAATAAAAGGCCCCACCCCACGCCCCTGGACCGAACTACGCCGATCGTTGTACTACACCGAAGGCTCCGAAGGTCTCGAAACCAAAACAGTTAGAGGCCAGGTGGAATCAAAAATTCTTAAGAAGCCCTAGGTCTCCATGTTTTCGAATTATGAGCCAGTCTGTAGCTCTGACCCAGCACTATCCAAATCCAATGGGAATTAAGGAAAAAAACTAGCTGTCAGACATTTTGGTGATATACATGTTACAAAGCGCAACACATACGACCTTAAAAACGTCCCAATAATTTTGGCGGTCTTCGGCCCAAACAACACAAAGATATTGTCTGGTTCCTATCCGCCTAAGCAGTCAAAGGAGAAGGCTTAAGCCTGACTCACCTTGATGGGTAGAGAGTTGAGGTAAATCTCCTCGAGAGTTGTGATCTTTCCATCTTTCACGAGACGTCCAAGCTTCGTTACAGGAACCCACTCAGATTCCTTCTCACCTCCACGGCCAGCACTGAAAAATGGATCCTTTACGTCCAGTATTCATTTACTAGCGCAATATACCACATATTTCCGGTTTAAACTACATCCAGTACTTTGCTGTCGTCCACGCTGGTGATATACGTGCATCAAAGAGAGACACATACGACCATTAGCGTGTACAAATAATATTGGCGGTTTTCGGCCCAATCAATGCACATGTATTAACTGGTTCCTATCCGCCCTTTTTTCAAATACGCTCTCGGAGAAAGTAAGTAGATTCTTGGAGAAATGTGTTCTTGCGTAGTAGTACGCACAAGGCTATTCTCAACGAAGGACAAACAAAAATTACCAGAATGAAAGACTGACCGTCCTCCTCGACCACCACGACCTCCACGACCACGTCCACCTCGTCCGCGGTCACCTCCGGCTCCGCGACCACCTGCGCCACTTCCAAATCCGCCACGGAAACGTCCTCGATCGGCCATATTTTATGTGATACCTCATGCTGAAACATAATA